ATATATATATATATACATACGTAAAACATGTAGGATTGTGTACACAGGAGAAGGACAATCTATAGAAACATACGTACGTCGTCCAAGGCGCCTCGGAAGGCGCAGAATACTCCTCCAAGGCGCGGAATCATGTTCCCGGACCGCCTTCCGGGAACATGATGGGGACGACCTCCTGAGGGCCTCCAGTGGGCCTCTTGGGGGCCTCTCGGAGGCCTGTTGGGCTCTCCTGGAGGCGTCTTGGGGCGCGCTCAGGGCCATTTTTGGGCATCTTGGGGGCCTCTGGGGGCCTCCGGGGAGGCTCTTGGGGGCCTCTTTGGGGCCTCTTGGGGCCTCGCGGGGCCCTCTTGGGGACCGCTGGGCTCGCTTAGGCAGTCTTGAAGCCCTGTCGGGGCTCTCCTGGAACCGTCTTGGGCGGCTCCTGGGCCATCTTGGGGCTCTCCTGGGCCGTCTTGGGACGATTTTGGGGGTCTCTTGGGCCGTCTTGGGGCGGTTTGGGGGGCCTCTTCGGCCGTCTTGGAGCGGTTTTGGGAGACTCTTGGACGGCCTTGGAGCGTCGGAACCCCGAAAACGCGAGAAGGCCAAAAACCTCGAAACAAAAATAAAAATCAACGATTTTGGCTTGTCGGGGCTCTCTTGGGAGGCCTCTTGGGATGCCTTCGGGGCCTCATGGAGCTCTCTTGGAGCGTCTTCGGGCCTTCCTGGCCATTCCTGAAGCTATCCACGCGCGTCTTGGAGCGCTCGCGGGCCGTCTTGGGCGGTCTCGAACTGTTCCTGGCGGTCCCAAGGGCCTTCCGGGTCGCTTCGGACGCTCCCGGGGGCGCCCTGCACCCCCCATGGAGATTACTGGCAGCGCCCCGGGCCGCCCCCGGGCCCTACTCCGATATATATATATATATATATATATATATATATATATATATATATATATGTGTGTGTGTGTGTGTGCGGACGTATGTTCCATGAATGTTGTCCGTCCGTGGACCATCTTGAGCTCTTAGTGGGGCAGGCTGAGCCCTCATAGCGAAGCAAAACTATACCATCAAAGCACCTCATTAGGGAAAGGATTGCCCATGTAATGAAACAAAGATAGTGAGTTCGCTGGCCTCCCATCAGGAGCTCTTTGATGTCCTGTATGGGTGTGTGCCCTCTCTCTTTCTCTCTCTCTCTCTCTCTCTCTCTCTGCTCAACATCATCATCATCCGCATAATCATCATCTCCTTCCGTAAACATTGTTTGTCAAGCCCAGAGGCCCTAACCACGCAGAACGCACGCTCATGTCCCGAGGTTGGCGGAGTACTGCAGGTGGTGCTTCACAGCCCACCTTGACACCAGGCGGTGCTGCACAGCCCACCCTGTCTGCTCTGCCAGACGACGCATCCGAGTAGACGGTGGCCTTCTACAACGCGGGCATCCAATTGTCGCAAGTCGACACGAAGAGATGGAGTAAAACCACAGATAAACAACTGGCCGCGGACATCGTCAAGGCCGCCAACGAGCATGCGTTGGACATCCTTTGCGTCAGCGAACTTGGCGAGCTCGGTGTGGGCATTGGAAGGAAACTCCTAAAAGGCGATGTCAGCGACTGGATCCGCAACCTGCTTGCCGACAGTGCGGCACCGCCTGTCGCTATCTACGCCGACGGACATTACGCGACTCTCATGCTGTCCGATCGAGCGCAGGTCCTTCAGTACCAGGTCATCAGGGACTTCGTGCGCAGCCAGCCGGACTGGTGCTTCCAACACTTCCGTGTTCACACGACCGAGCGCGCCGAGCCCATCTCCATCGTCAATTGCCACGCACCTTCCTCGAGAAAACGATCGCTGACGGTGACGGGGCGTCTGCTGTACTTCAAAGCATTTCATCAGGCATGCGCTGGTGACCCATTCATCTGGGGCGGCGACTTCAACGCGGAGCTCATGCAGCTCACCGACCTTCTCGGGTGCATTGATAGTCGCTGCAACATGAACTCCAGTGCTGCACAGCCTGGCTCATTGCGAACGGTGTTCTCCCATCCGTCAAAAGGCAGGCACGGCGACTTCGCGGTGACATTCGGCCTCTGCAGTGCCCAAGTGAATTCCGTGATTGGGGCCTCATTCAACGGAACGAGTGACGCTCATGATGTCGTAATCGCCAAAACGTTTCGACGCACGAGCCGGGCGCCCACGCCAGAGCCTGAAGCCAGCTCTTCGAGCAGCGCTGCGCAACCTTCTCGGCAAAAGGCCGCCGGCAATGCGGTGGCGCCACCCCTCCAGCAATCCTCGGCACTGCATGACGCAGATCGGCCGGAGCGGCCGATGCCCGCGCGCCCGCGCGGACAGAAGCTGAAGCCAGCTCTGCCAGCAGCGCTGCACAGCCTGCTCGGCAGGAGCCCGCCGGCAGCGCGGAGCCGCCGCCCCCCCGACAATCCTCGGCACTGCGTGGCGCAGATCGGCCGGAGTGGCCGATGCCCGCGCGCTCGGCACCGCGGCCAGAGACTGAAGCCAGCTCTGCGAGCAGCGCTGCGCAGCCATCTCGGCAAAAGGCCGCTGGTAATGCGGCGCCGCCACCCCCCCAGCAATCCTCGGCACTGCCCGGGCCAGAGCGGCCGGAGTGGGCGATGCCCACGCGCCTGGCACCAGAGCCGCAGGCTGAACCCAGCCCTGCGAGCAGCGCTGCGCAGCCTGCTCGGCAGGAGCCCGCCGACTGCGGGGCCGCCGCTCCCCCAGCAATCCTCGGCACTGCATGGCGCAGACCGGCCGGAGTGGGCGATGCCCGCGCGCCCGGCACCTCGGCCAGAAGTCGAAGCCAGCTCTGCGAGCAGCGCTGCACAGCCTGCTCGGCTGGAGCCCGCCGGCAGCGCGGGGCCGCCGCCCGTCCAGCAATCCTCGGCGCTGCATGGCGCAGAGTGGCGCAACCCGCGCTACCACCGCGTCAACGCGATCTTCGGCACTGACGACCCCAGCACGGCGCCGCTGCAAGAGGTGCTGGAGCAGATCGGCAGCCAGTTCCTCCACGGGCAAGTGGCCAACATCGCGGCATCGTCGACGGGATGCTACGAAATGGCGACTGATCCATACATCGTCGACAAGGTGGAACGTTTTTTGGAGATCATCCAGGAGCAGCGCTCCCGCCATCTGCAACGGCATCCGTCACTAACCCCCGACGCCGTGTTCAGTCCCGAGCACATGCAAGAGATTCACCGTGCCTGGATGGAGGACCACGAGACCTGGATGAATGAAGAGAGCTTTCACAACTACAACTGGTGGTCCGATGGAACGGGCAAATGCAACCACCAGTTACGGCGCAGTGCCTTTTCGGCGCTTCTCTTCCAGATCATCGGCAACAAGCGCGCGGTGCCGGCATCCATGCAGCATCCTATATGCAGTGCTGAACAGCCTGCTCAGGCGATCCAGCGCTTCATGTGCGCTTGGGAGAAAGAGAAGTCTTCCGACGAGTAAAAGAAGAGGATGCAAATCTCCGGATCCCTGACGAAGGAACGAAGAGCTCTGAAAAACGCTGCCCACGCATCTCGGCAAGCACTCGTGCGAGGCAAATAGATTCACGCAGCCATCCTCCGGGGCTCCAATCAGCGGGCCGCGTTGTCGCCAGGACAAAGCTCTCTGGCGCGACTTCATCAGCGGCAAGCTCGCCAGCGCTCGCGACGCGTGTGGCGCTGCTTTCGGGTGTAACAAAGAGATGCGGGCCGCCGCGGGCAGTGCGGCCAGCAGGATCGGGCGATGGGCCCGTCACTTTCCACGGTGCTGCACAGCCCGTGTCTCTTCGGTGCTGCGCAACCCGTGCTGTGCAAGTGCTGTAAGCCTGCCCGTGTCTCTTGGTGCGTCTCATGGAGGCCTGTCTCTTTCCACGGTACTGCACGGCGCGTGCCGCGCAGTCCCCGTGCTGCGCAGCCCGAGCAGTCCTCTGTGCAGCCACGGTCTAGCCGATGCATGGATTGACGCGCGGACGCGGAGGAAAATGAGCTGATAACATACACGCATTCATTCATGCATTCATACATACATACATGCACCCATACATACATTTACACACGGATGCATACTTACATACACCTATACACCTACACATCTATACACCTATACATGCATACATACATGCATACACACATACTTACGTACGCACGCACATACGCACATGCATACATACACACGTACGTACATACATGATGATGTTTATGCACCACCTTCTTCGGCCCCTCTGGGCACCCTTCTCGTAGCCAGCGCTGCAGTCGCCTCGAGATTATGGTCATGGGCGCGCCCGGGGGACCAGGGTTTGATTAGCGTTGTCGGTCTCTGTTTCGGCACAACGAGACACGTATGTTATCCTTGCATTCAGGGCCCTCATTGAGGGGGGTGGGGGTCTCACTGGAGCCGCCCTCTCTCCATCCTCCGCGCCTGCTCTGGTAGCCGCCCCAGCCTCCAGGAGGCCCCGGGCCCCGCCTCGCACGGGCCCCCCTCTCGGGATACCTCGGGAGGCCCTCCAGGGAAGCCCTGGCGAGAGTACCAATTTGAAGGGCGAGCCCCCTCAGCCGGGGCCAGGGCTGGGTCCGGACTCCCGGCTATGTGCATCTCGTCATCACCGTTCCGCAGCCTTTGTAGCTCTGGGCTGCAACCATGCCAGGCCACAGGGTCTGCGCAACCCGACTCGGCGCCAGGCGGCGCTGCACAGCCCACCGCAACCTTTGTTGCTCCGGCGCAACCCATGGCAGCCAGCGCGGCGTCGGTGCCCCCATGCGGGGGAGGCCCCGGCAGCGGCGCTGCGCAGCCCGCCTCGGCACCAGGCGGGGGCCCCGACAGCGATTCTGCACGGCCCGCCTCGGCACCAGGTGGTGCTGCGCAGCCCACCCCGTCATCAAGTGGTGCTGCACAGCCCATTTTCTCTGCGCTGCCTGCCAACGCGACGGAGTTGACAGTGGGTTTCTACAACCTGGGAATCCAATTGTCGGTGGCTGGTGGGAGAAATTGGAAGAACAAAGAGCGCCGTTTTGCATCGGACATTACCAGGGCGTTCCAAGTTCACGCGCTGGAAATACTCTGCCTGAGCGAGCTCGGGGAGATCCGAAGGGGCATCGGCGAGAACATCCCAGGAGGCGATGTCTGTGCCTGGATTCAAGAACTGCTTGTTGACAGCGCGGCACCGCCTGCCCGTGTGTACGTTGACGGACACTACGCGACGATCGCGAAGTCCAACCGAGTGGCGGTGCTTCAGCGCAGGCTCGTCAGCGACTTCGCGCAGAACCAGCCAGACGGGCGCTTCCAGCACCTCCGTGTTCGCGTTGACGACGACAACGAGCCCGTGTCCATCGTCAATTGCCATGCGCCCGCCTCGAAAAAGCGACGGTTGACAATGGACAGGCGCAAGCGCACCATCCTGCCTTGCCACAATGCGCGCGCGGGAGAGATCGCTTCATCTGGGGCGGCGACATCATTCAGCTCACCGCCCTGGTGCAGAATATCGATGAAGGCTACGCAGCCTGCCAGGTATCGATTGACTCCGGCGCTGCGCAGCCTGGATCACTGCAGCTGGTCTTCTCTCACCCGATGAGGTTCAAACACGGCGACATTGGTGCGTTCTTCGACGGAGTGAGTGATGCCCCTGACCTCGTTGTGGCCAGGGTGTTTGTGCCTCGAGACCTCGAGAGTGCGGCTGGGCCTTCGCCGGTTCTGCGAATCACAGATGCGCACCTTCCGCTGACGCGGGAATCGACGCGCAGCCCGCCGAGCAACGCTGCGCAGCCTGCCACCTCCTCCAACGTGGTACGCAGGCCCGCCACGCCCCGCGCCAACGCCATCTGCGGCAGCGACGCCTCCGCCGAAGCAGCGTTGCAGGGGGTGCTCGAGAAGATCGGCAGAGACTTCCTGTTCGTAGCCTCGTCGGACGGCCGCTTCGAGGCGGCAGCTGCTCCGCGCATCGCAGAGAAGCTGGAGGAATTCTTGCGGGTCGTCGAAGAGCAGCGTGCGAATCGCATGCGCCGCGCGCCTGGCCTGGGCCCCGACGCGATCTTCACGCCTCGCCACATGAAAAAGACCCACAAGAAAAGGATGGACGATTATAAGTCGTGAGTGAACACGGAAACGGCCCAGGAGTACGAGCGGCTGCTCAACGGGAGGTGCAGGCAGAAAGCGCACCAGCTCCGACGAAGCGCTTTCTCCGCGTACTTGTCCCAGATCATCGGCAACCAACGCACGTTGCTCTCCGCCCTCCAACATCCAATCTGCAATGCTGCGCAGCCTGCAGACGCCATACGGCGGTCCATGGACACGTGGACGGAGGGGAAGTCGTCGACTGACCAAAACAGGGTGAACGCGACGGAGAGGGAGGACATCGGCGACGACGAGGACGAGGGGCCGCACAAGCGCCGGCGCCGTGAATGAGCGAGCGGCTAGCGCCTCGCAGCTCGCGGGTCGCGCCTCGCAGCTCGCACCTGGTGTGCGAATGCGAAAACATGCGCGTGTGTGCGTGTGTGTGTGTGCGTCTGCGCGCAGGCAAAACACAAGCAAAATCAAGCAACAACAAAAACAACATCAAAACAACATCAACACCAAAAGCAAAAGCAAACGCAAAGGCAACGCAATGCAAAAACAAAACCAATGCGAAAGTGTAGATGTAGATGTAGATGTAGGTGTATATGTTGATGTAGATGTAGATGTAGATGTAGATGTAGATGTAGATGTAGATGTAGATGTAGATGTAGATGTAGATGTAGATGTGAGTCTCGCTGTTGATGTTGACGTGGATGTAGGTGCAGGTGTATATGTTGATGTAGCTGTCGGATTAGATATAGATGCTGCTTTCCTAGATGCTCCAATTCCTAGGTTGGGTCGCACTGGGATAATTGAGCTCCTGCGTCGGACCGCGAGACGCAGTCTGCAATGGGCGTGGCCGTCCTTCCGCCTATGCCATCACAGTGGTCGGGATGCCACGGCGCCCTGCCAGGGTCGGGACTGCAAGGTGGGCGGTCAATCGGACATTTGCCGCGACGCTGACTGTAAACAGGGCGCGGGCATATGTGGGGTGTCCCGCGCTGCAAAATCACGCCCGCCTTTCGTCGCTGCCTCTGCCGCGACGTTCTGATGTTTTGATGATGCAACCTCTTTCGTCACGAATAATACAAGGTCTTAGAGACCACCAATGACGCATCTGGGCCTCCGCAAAGCCCCGCTCGAAGAAATAATTCATATCAGACTCGTTGATCACCGCGCGGGGGCCCCGGTCGTCGCGCGAGAAAGAGGTGCACCCCTTTTCGGAGGAGGCATGCCCCTTTCCCCATCCTTGGTTGCTGGAGCTCGCGCCGCGCGAGGGCTCGACTGGTTCGGCGTAGCCTTTGCCCGTGGAGCGGAGAGGGCCGCCCGTGCCCGGCTGCGTTGTCCAGTTTATCCGGATCCGCCTGCTGCGCGGTGGGCCGACGAGCCGCGGCCCTGGCGACCGCTTCCTTTGTCGCCGTTGCAAGGGCCGCCAGAACCGATCGGGGCAATTCCAGACTTGCCCCACGTCATGAATGCGTCGGCGTGGGTCTGGCCCCAACCCACCGCAGCACAACCGCAGCCCCCTCCCCCTCCTCCTCCTCCTCCTCCTCCTCCTCCTCCTCCGCCGCGAGTCCGAACGCTGTCGGGGATAGGAGCAGACGTGGGCGGTACTGCTCGTGTCCGACCTGTTCAATTATTTCAGCGTCAGCGGCAGGTATGGTCTCCACGTCAGACATGCACTTGTCCTCATCGTCATATTCAGAATCATCCTGCACACGCCCGCGCCAACACGTACCGACCCAATCCTCGATGGGGGTGTCGCAGAGCTCCTCGATCCCGTCGTGGAGATGCGTGGAGATACTCCGTGCGCCGCTCTACCGACATGGCGGCGCCGGCACAATGGGCCATGCAAAACCAAGACGAACTGGTTTGAGCCAAGGGGTAATCTAGCTCGGGGGAATCAGCGCCCTCAGTGATATCCGCTTCGGATTGGTCTGCGCCAAGAAGTGCAGATCCGTCCTCTTTTCCACCTCCCTTAGAACATTGCGCTTGGAAGTGTTTGTCGCTCCCGCAGGTGTTGCGCGTCATCCTTTTTTCCATCCTTACCCATTGTAAGCCTGCGTCCCTTGCCCTTGCCTGTTCTGCGCCTGCGACCTGTCTCTACCTGTCCCTCCTAGGAACAGGTCTTCAAAGTCGAAGTCGGTCAATCGAGCCAGGAACGCGGCCGTGCCTGTGCCATGCAAACCGCGGGTGCGCCGACCCCCCTGCCGCGACCCTTTCCTTTGCGGAAGAAGACGCGACGTGAAGCTCGCCTGAAACTCCTGACTGGCTTCTTCATATGTCGCCTCCACCTTTTTTGGGCGTGATGATCTCCTAGGTACAGGTGTTGTGTAGCTGCGTCATCACCAGCGGGCACATCCGACCAATCGAGGTGTTGGGCACCGGTAGGAGAGACCGCATCAGCATCCGCACCGGAGTCGAATACATCGTCGTCTTGGCGGCTGGGTGAGCCCCAGAGGGCAGTGGCTTCAGGTGGTGTATAGCTGGCCGCTGACGGCCAGCCCGCGTTTGAGCCAGACGCCTGTTCGTTGTTGCTGTTGGCGCCTTGGCCTAGAAGCGTAGTGGACTCAGTGGGCTCTCTGTCATTCCAGATGCTGTTCGGTATTATGGCTGCCAGTGTGCGCCGCTTATTTCGGCGTGGTAAGGGCCACCGCTGCGTCCGCTGAAGATGCCCCCGGCGTTCCCTTGGGAACGCTCCGGAAAGTGTCCATGGCTGCGCATTCGCTCCAGAAGTCGGTCGCACTATTGTTGAACACGGGGCATCTGATGGTTCAGCGGTTGCAGCAGCTTTGCTGCTCGGAAGGTGTCAACCCCCAAGGCGCGAAATAAGATCAGAGTGAGAACCTGGAAGGTTGGAATGCTGAAACCTGCTGAGTCTGCTTCCATCCTGGCCATCTCGAACCGGGCCAATACTGAATCAATGTTTTCGCCTCTCTCGACCCTAAAGTCGATGAGGGCGGTCCCCGAGGTGAGCTGTCGCTCGTCCTCAAAGTTATCAAATTTGGTGCATAATAGGTACAGGATGTCTGTGGTTCCGTCGGTGCGTTTCCCTTGGAACGTAACACCATAGTTGGTGATGGTGGTTGGCGCCCTCATTGGTAATGTCCTAGCCAATCCTCCTAGACCGCGCTGTAAGGCTGCGGCCTGTTGTAGTGGAGTCATGTTCCCGCTCGCGACGTGAAGCCATGCGTGTACTTCGCGAACAAAGTCGCGAAAGGGTACGTTGCCTGCGGGGCCCCAGAAAGGACCCCGAATGCGTGTTTCATCCAGTCCTCCTCCTCGCATGCATGCCACGGCAAAGCCCAAGCACGTCCAGATAATTCCAAGTATGGCGACCTTAACATAGTGCGCTGTCATGTTGTAGCTGACGATTTTAGGTTGCTTACCATTGGATATCGTCGCGTCCGTAGGGTTGCGATTGGGTGTCTGGTCGGACGTGGCAGTCAGCTTGCGGATAAGCATCGGTGTTTGGGTTGTGCGTGGCATGTGGACATGCGGTGGGGAGATGGGGGGTGTAGGACTGTAGGTCACCAGTTCGTTCGAGAGCATTGGGGGTGCAGTGAGTGAGAGCTGGCGCAGTCGGGCAATAAATCCACTGCGCCGTGGTAAACGGATATGTCAATAAAACCTGATGTACGAGCCGGCCACGTGAAGGTGTAGCGAGCTCCGCTACCAAGTGAAAAGTAAGGGTACGAGGCTTGACCATGAGGTAATAAACTGAAAACCCTACTCTTAGGATAACGTCGGCGACGTATCGACGTATCTCACAACTCATCCCTTGATGTCAAGCGAGAGGATAGATAAGAGAGGAGCCATGGGAGTGGAAGAAGGACCCCAGAAGGACGTGGCCTTTGTCCGCTGCTAAGATCCCAATAGAGGCGCACATAATCGCGTGCACCTGGCCTATCGGACAGCGCTGCCTTGAGCCAAGACAGCGCCGGATATCGGATATAGCGTTCGCTATACAGCCTCTCCTAAAACCTCGTTTAAAACCAAAATGCGTCAAGACTGCTCAAGAGCGACCCCAAGACGGTCCAAAATGGCCCCATGAAAGCCCAACAAGCCCCCAAAAAGACCCCAGAGAGCCCCAAGAGGACCCCCAGCAGCGACCCCATCACCCCAAAGCATTGTTGTTCCTTAGGTGTTTGAAGGATTTTAGCGTTCTCGTCTTTTCCTAGCCTTAGAGGTCCATGACGGCCCAAGCAGCCTCCAAAATGGTCCCAGGATGGCCCCAGATGCCCCCAAGAGGACCCCGAGACGGCCCAAGGGGGCCCCAAGACGGCCCAAAGAGGCCCCCAGGACGGTCCAAGAGGCCCCGAAGACGGCCCAAGAGGACCCCAATAAAACCCTAAGGCGGCCGCGAGAGGGGATGGCCTCCGAAGGAGCCAAGCGGCGCAAGAGCGCCGCAAGTCGGCCCAAGACGCCCCCAAGAGGCCCTAAGAGGCCCCAGTGAAGCCCCCAAGAGGCCCCAAGAAGCCCACACGAGGCCTCCAAGAGGCCTCAAAGAGGCTTCCACCAGGTCCCACTACGTCTGGACTGCACGTGCTCCAGACGTGCACCCCGCGAAGCGAGAGGAATCTAAACTTCAGGAGGCCGTCGAGATTTTGTGGAGAGATCACCTCCTCCATCAAAAGGTGTTGAACCAAGAATATGAACATGCATTGCAATGCCAAATTTAGGAAATAGATTCCCCACAATACAGATGTATTCAGACTGCCGATTGCTGGGTGACCCGCGAACATCATGACGTCCCAAACTGACTCGTTCAACTCGTACATGTCGCCGCAATCGAGCATCACTGCTGACACATACTCGCGACGCATCGACGTCCTTTCTTTTAGCTGTCCGTTCTCGTCCAGACCCGTTCCAGTCCATTGCGACTGCTCGTGATTCTCGTCCCAATCGCCGCCCTCGGCCTCGAAGGTCTCCGAGGCCACCTCCGGAATCCTCCTCGACAGTGGTTGATTAACCAGGAATGAAAATCTAGGTTCAGTATCTTCAGATGATACCCTACGGATTCTTACCCTGTGAATGGATCGGGCTCAGCCCCACCCCCTTCCGAATCATTATCTTTCCGGAATAATCAGCCTAAGTTTAATTCCCCAACATTATGGACCATGGTTTATCTCAGTCCGGAACGTACTCTCAAACGGCGCCCCCCAAGCTCAATCATTATCATTCCAGAAGAGTTAACCCAGGGTCCATATTCCGGGAACGTTATGAATCCGGGATTATTCTCTACTGAAGATAATGAACCAGGGTCAATATTCCGACATGACAAACCTGGTGGGGAACCCGGGGGTTGGGGGGAACATAATAATTATTATCATTCCGGAATTACGAAAACCGGGTTCATTATTCCCGGGACGTTGTAAAAACCAGTCAATGTTCCCGGAACATTGCGAATCCAGGTTAATATGTTTTCGGGGCCGATATCCCCAGAACATTATACACCAGGGTTTATAATGTTCCGGGGGAAGCATTATGAACCCCAATCAATATTCCCAGAACGTTGAAACCCAGGTTCATAATGTTCTGGGGGAGACATTTATGAACCCGGGCCAATAACCCTGTAACATTAAAAACCCTGGTTATTATCTATTTGGGATCCATCCTGTCGTTGTCATCCATGTCCATCTGTGGGCCAGAGAGCCGCGGCGATTGCTTGAGCTGCTCGACCGACTTGTCTAAAGTCTCCATCTGGTACGGTGTCGTCCCGCTGATGTTGGAGTCGGAGACGTTGCTTGTTGATCTGCGGTGGTGATGGTGATGGTGGTGGTGGCCGCCGTGGTGGCTCCTCTCCACCTCCTCCAACCGCGCCCGCAGCTCCGCCAGTGCCCCGTCGAGCACTGGGGCCGGCTGCGGGGCTGGCTCCGCAGGCGGAGTCTGGCCGGCGACGTCCTGGCGCAGCGCGTCCATCTCCGCCCGCATGGCCGCCGACTCCACCATGCAGGACCCGAGCATCTGCTCCAGCCTCTTCTCCATTGCCTCCCTGCGGTTGCGGTCCTGCTGCAGCGCCCGCGCCGCCGTGGCGGTCGTCTTCCGGAGGTCCGCCTTCTCATTCTTGAGCTGCCTGTCCACGTGCTCCAGGAGCAGCCTGAAGGCCTCGCTGCGGTACTCGGACTCGGCCTCGACGTCCAGGCCACCAGCTGGGCTGTTGCCTCCTTGGGCGCTGCCTTGCACTTTGTCCTCGGGGGCGTCCGCAACCTGGCCCTCAGTGGCCTGGGTCAGCGCCGCTAGCTGCTCCTCGAAGTCCCTGCGCTGGACATCCATCTGATTGATGACCTCGTCCAGCCTCTCCCACATCTCTTGTCTCATCGCGGCGAACCTGTCGTCGATCATCCTCTCGGTAATCGCCTGCTGCTCCGCTGCCTCTTCAGCCACCTTGTTGTTCAGCTCGAACAGCACCTCCTGAATTTGCGAACCTGCCGTGCTCGACCACGCACGCACTGCCGCATGCGGCGGTGCGCTGTCGTCCATGTTTCGGGCCGGGCGAAAGGGGGGGATAGCAAAGGGGGGGGTTGAGAGTCAGCTCACGTAGCTGATTCTCCCGGCGCCTCCTGGCGCCGGAGGCGGCCATGTTTAGAGGAATGGGTCTCGGAAGCGGGGCCGAAACCAGCTGCATGCAGCAGATTTCGTGCCCCCCCTTTCCCTACCCCCCCCTTTCGTTCGGCCCGAATGTTCCCCCCGCGACGCCGCGCGGAGATCGGCCCGTGGCGCAGCCCGGCCACCCGCGGTGGGCGGTGCGGCCACCGCTGCAGATCCACGGGCGCGCCTGCCGAGAGGCGCCGCCTGCGCGGTTTGCGCCGAGGGGTCTTGAGCCAAAAGCGGTTACGGAGGAGAGACAAGAGGGATGGAGCACGGGGCCACAGATGAATTATTCGATATGCGCATCTGCCTCAGATTTGGTCGTTGTTTATCCCATGCGCGATGGCATTGTCGATAATTGTTGCTGCCTTACTCCTGCCAAGTTCGTCGCCGTACCGCTCCTCGCTGTGTTTGCCATCTGGAACACGTGCGACGAGCTGGTCGCAAAACATTAATCTCGACCAAAGCAGAGACGCGCTGCAGTACCATGCCAAATTTGGACGCGGATGCAAGTCGGTGGCGCAGTGGTTTGACAGTGTCTGCCGACGAGCGCACTGACCTTATCCCATTAGCCCTTTGGGCGACAGGTGGTCTAACGGTGGCTTTCTTTCCTCTTCCAAAAGCCCTTCTTCCCATTCGGGGAGGGGTTTAACAATGTTCCCTACTAATAAACACCCCCTTCCCCACCCGGTCGGCAGCCAACCAGGAACCATGCGCACACCATGAGGACCCCCCCCATCCCTGTCACAAAAACAATACAAAACGCACTCTGCTTCCAAATTCGGAGCATGCGCAACCAACCCGATGCAGGCCCCCCCACCATCCCTGTCAAAAAACAATACACAATACAGTTTGGGGCAAAGTCTGGAGTCATGTTCGTGAGGCCCGCGGGCACTTTGTGTTGTTTTTCGAAAGGGACGGCGGGGGTGTCAGCATACTGACTGCTGCGCGCAGGGCTACCGTCCCTGACAACACACACAATAGAAATACACCTCGCGGCTACATGCGGATAGAGCGCGGCCACCCCGCGATCACTGTCAAGTGGTTTTTGTCAGGGACGGCGGGGGTGGGGGTGTATGGCTTGCTGTGCTCAGGCCCACCAGACACGATGATGGGCATTGGTTTTCGACCGGGATGGTGGGGGCCGCCATGTTTCCCGATGTGGGCTGTCATGTGCGCAGGCGCACCTGACACACTCTGCACGTGCCCCGGACGTGGCGCACCTGGCGCGGCTGAAGGGAGCATCTGGCGCACTAGGCGTGACTGGCGCGCTTGGGCCCCAGGGGTGCCTGGCGCGCGTGGCGCGGCTGGCATGCGTGGCGCACCTAGCCCCAGCGTCGCGCACATGGGCTCGGTTTTAGTTCCCAGTAGCTGTCCATCAAAAGACGACCGCGGAACATGCTGAGGCTCGGGCGATACTTATGTGTTGGAAGGGCGGGTGGGAGTGAGCTAGACGGCTTGCTATCTGGAGGGTGTCTTGACCCCTCCCCCTAGCCCCTCCCCTGGACCTGGAGGGGAGGGGCCGCGATCCGTTGGAGCGTCCAAGATCGGCCCCTGGGAGGGCCAATGTTTGACACCCCTCACGAGGATCGTGACCCCCGAGGGCGGGGGCGCCGATCGGGGACCCTCCCTCCTTTGATCGATAGCCTCGATCGAAGATGGTCTCAAGAGGCGCTCCCAGGCTCCCGAGAGAGCCCCAAGAGAGCCCCAAGAGGGCCCCAAGAGGGTCCCCGAGAGGCCCCCAAGAGGCCCCCGAGCGGTCTCAGAAAGCCCAAGATGACCTTCAAGATGGCTCAGATAGTCCACGCTGGCTCAAGATGGCTCCCAAGATGCTCCAAACGGCCCACAGACCGGCAGGATATGAGGACCCCATATCATCCTGTAATCGATGGCCTCCAAGATGATCCCGAGACGCCTTCCAGGGTTACCAAGAGAGCCCCCTGAGGGCTCCAAGAGGGTCCCAAGAGGGCCCCTAGAGGGTCCCCGAGAGGCTCCCAAGAGGCCCCTGAGCGGTCTCAGAAAACCCAAGATGACCTCCAAGATGGCTCAGATAGCCCAAGCTGGCTCAAGATGGCTCCCAAGATGTTCCAAACGGACCCAAAACCGCTCCAAGAGCGCTCCAGGATATGAGGACCCCCCCATCCTGTAATCGATGGCCTCCAAGATGATCCCAAAACGCCTTCCAGGGTTACCAAGAGAGCCCCCTGAGGGCTCCAAGAGGGTCCCAAGAGGGCCCCTAGAGGGTCCCCGAGAGGCTCCCAAGAGGCCCCCGAGCGGTCTCAGAAAACCCAAGATGACCTCCAAGATGGCTCAGATAGCCCAAGCTGGCTCAAGATGGCTCCCAAGATGCTCCAAACGGCCCCAAAATCGCTCCAAGAGCGCTCCAGGATATGAGGACCCCCCATCCTGTAATCGATGGCCTCCAAGATGATCCCGAGACGCCTTCCAGGGTTACCAAGAGAGCCCCCTGAGGGCTCCACGAGGGTCCGAAGAGGGCCCCTAGAGGGTCCCCGAGAGGCCCCCAAAAGGCCCACGAACGGTCTCAGAAAACCCAAGATGACCTCCAAGATGGCTCAGATAGCCCAAGCTGGCTCAAGATGGCTCCCAAGATGTTCCAAACGGACCCAAAACCGCTCCAAGAGCGCTCCAGGATATGAGGGCCCCCCATCCTGTAATCGATGGCCTCCAAGATGATCCCGAGAAGCCTTCCAGGGTTACCAAGAGGGTTCCAAGAGGGCCCCCCAAAACTCCCAGAGAGCACCAGCAGCAGCAGCAGCCGCAACAATACCTGTAGATGGTTCAATGAGTCCTCGTCCGCGTCGTCCTCATCCTAGTACTCGTCCTCCTCGTCCTCATCCGCGTCCTCGTCCTCCTCGTCCTCGTCGTCGTCGTCGTCCTCCTCCTCCTCCTTTTCCCCTCGCCCCCACGCGGCACCCAGGGATGGCCCGAAGAGACCTTCCAAGGCCACCCCCTCGCTCGCTTTGGTTCCCTAGATGTGTGTCTTCGCCCCATTTCTCGTCAGTTCTGAAAGGCAGAGCTTATGAATGGGCTGGTGGGGATACTTTTCTGTCGCAACCGCAGGCGAAGACGCCAGCGGCGAGTCAGGTCCGAGCGGGCCGCGCAACAGCCGAAGTGCTTAACGCCGACGGGCCGGCGACCTCAGCAGCGCCTCGGCGGGCGGGCCGGTGTGAGAGGGGATGCAAGCTGCAGCTGCCAGGGGCCAGGTCCAGGGGCGCGCACATGCAAAATTAGCCAACCAGAGGCTGGTGGGGATACGCGATGCGTGAAGAATTTGTACACGAGGTGGAGAGGTTCGGCACCGAACGGCGTATTATTTGACTGGGGCGGAAGCAGGAACAGCGAATCGGGAAGCGGGGCCGACGGCAGGGGAGGGGGAAGGACCCTGATGATATGATATGTTATGATATGCGATGATATGATATGGTTTGATATGATATGCTATGATACGGGATAGTATAAGAAATGATATGATATAATACGACATGATAGGGCATTACATGAAAGTATGTGATATGGTATTACAAGATATGGTATGGCATGTTATGGCATGATACGATATGACAGGACCAGGTATGATGCGATATGCTATGATATGGTTATGCTGCTGATGATGGTGCTGCTGATGATGATGATGATGTTGGTGGCGGTGCTGATGATGCTGATGATGCTGATGATGATGATGCTGATGATGATGATGATGATGATGGTAATGATCCACGCGTCTAAAGAGGTCAGGAGCTCCAAGCTCGTACTGCCCCTCGGACCGAGGCGTTTCCCTGTGGCCCTGCGGAAGCAACGCGCGGTCTCGTGCCCAAGGCACACACGCAGATACGCCTGAGTGTCGAAAAGCCGCCCCCCGCCCCGGCCGAAGCAGGCGGAAAACGACACCCGAGCAGTCACGGCGACTCAGCCCGCGAGCTGGTACGGGGCCTCGAGTGGGGCCCCCAGGAGGATGCTGAGAGGCTGCCCCCGCCTCCAGGAGCTCGCGCGAAGACAGCAAACCTGTGCCGCCGCCAAGGCCGCCGCACTCCGACCAGTCCTCGCACGCGCTCGCGTTCGCGCCTAGGCCCAAGCCGACCTCGCGCTTGCACTGGCCCTTCGGGTCCTCCAGCCCGCCCTCGAAGAAGCCCCCGTCCTCGCCCAGGTCCAGGCCGAACTTGCGCTTGCGCATGCCCTTCTGGTCCTCCAGCGCCTGGGAAGGGAGCGCTCGGTTCAGGGGGCTCGCCCACCCGCGCGTCTGCGGCCTCGAGCACGAGCCCGCCCCCCCCTCCCTTCAAGGTCTGCCCCTGTCTGGGCTCCCCAAGGACGCCCCCGCGTCCCGACGCCAGCCGCCGGGAGGGGCCCCTCATCCCAGGCGCTTCGACCACCCACGCGTCCGTGGCCCAGGAATGGGGCTGAGCTCGGTCAAGGGCTTCGGCCACCCGCACGTCTGCGGCCTTGCTCCAGAGCTCACCCCCCGCATTCTGGGTCTGCCCAGCAGCGGGCTCCCCGAGGACGTCTCCGCGCCCCGACGCCGACGAGGGCTCTCTCTCCCCTGAGGCTTCGGCCACCCGCGCATCCGCGGCCCAGGGTGGAGGCTGGACCTGGTCAAGGGCTTCGGCCACCCGCATGTCTGCGGCCTCGCGCCAAGGTCCGTTGCCCTCCTTTAGGGTATGCCTCTGTCTGGGCTTCCCAAGGACCGTTGCTGGCTCCAGTAGAAGGAGGCGCTTCCGCAGGCGCCTGAGTTCCCTAGGCAACCGCACCCGCGGCCTGCCATCCAGAGGCTCCAGCTGCTCGCTGCCGTCCTTCGCGATAGCGTCGACGTAGTCCCTGAAGCTCACGGCGACTGCCGCGCGGTAGCGCCGCGCCCGCGCAGCTCGGACGCCCCCATCTCGGCCGACTCCTTCAGGCGCGAGGTTGGGCGTGACAGCGCCAAGGAGGCCGGCAGGAAAAAGGGAGGGCGCCTCCGCCTGCATCGCCCCAGCGGCAGCCTCATCGGCCCCGCGCCTGGGCGCCGCGCGCCCCTCTAGCTGGGGCCACCGCTGGGCACAGCGCAGCTCCGCCGCTCCCGCCGCCACGATGTCCACGCCCTGCGCCTCAGCGTGGAGGGCGACATTACGCCGCAGGCGCTCGAGCCATGTGGGGGACCTACCCCCAAGCTTGGCCTGCAGCGCGGCGAGCCTCGCCTGCAGTCGCTGCCCAACCTCGCCGTCGCCGATGACGGCGCACAGGGC